ATGATGAAAAATAATTTAATCTTACTATTAATAACACTTTAAATTTTTTACAATCAATTAATTCTTTTCCCGTAAAAAATTATATTTCCTAAAAGATTTTAAAAATTGAGATTTTTTTGCATATATGAATAAAATTCTTAATTCTTTTTTAATCATATATGAAGAATTTTTGATGATTTAAAAGAATAGTTATGATTATTTTTAATTTAAGAAATAATATATGGTGATGAAACTCTATTAATTTTATTATTAAGAAATAAATATTAATATCCTAACATATCATTAGCATCAAATTTATTTAATTTAAGATAAATTTTAGAATTAAATATAAAGTTTAAATTTCAAAAAGAATAATATTGGAAATATTAGAAGTTATATATGTAAAATCAACAATATCCAAATTACTTTTGATTGATAAATTGATAATGTTTCTGAGATAAATAGGTAGAAAAATCATTATTTTGTTTTTGTAGATTTATTTGGTATATCAAGATCAAAAGAATTTTATGATATTCATTTTATGTAAAGTTAATTTTAAAAGTAAAAAATGATTATATTAAGCTGCCTAATTTAAATATTATTAGAAAAGTTTTTTAAATATTCAAGACTAAAAAATACTGTTTTAGTAGTAGGTGGCACACATGTAAAAATTTAAAAACCAGTTAATTCTAATAGGAGATATATTAATAGAAGAAAGAATTATGATTAAATTTTATAGTAGTAAGAGATTTGAATATAAAATTAGATGTATACTAAGTGGTTCGTATAGGACACACTTCATGATGCATATATGTTTTCATTATCAGATCTTGAAATTTTTACAAAAAATAATCTTAAATTTTTTACAACACTAACTTAAATTTGTATAGTTATCAACAATATCATATTTTAGGGGACAGTGTTTAACTAAGCAAAGAATAAATGAAAACAGTTGTTTAAGAAGAATTGAGGATTAAGGATTAAGAATGGAATGATATATTAATAGCAAAGAGAAGTTATTGAAAGAATATTTGGATAATTTAAAGGTAAATTTCAGAAATTTAAAGATGAAATTGATAATTTAGATTTTGTTTCTATGTTATTTTTTACCTTGGTCATTATTTATAATATAATTTTTAAAGAAAGAATATCTGTAGAACTAGAGGAAGAGGTTTTTATAATAATAAAAAGTGAAGAAGATAATAAATAAATAAATTTATTTATTCTTGTCATGAAATACATTGTTAAAAGATTCAAAAATTAATAAAACATATTTTCAATTT